ATCAGACGAGCTCTTGAAGCTTCCACAGTTCTCGCCTGCAGGGGCGTTTTTTTCAAACGAGGCCAACTGGACCCTTCGTGTGGTTTGCAAATTCGAGAGTCGGCCTCCAGTCTCGGTGGACAAATCGTCGCTGCGCTGTCGTGTAGTGTCTGTCCGACAATCAAGAATGCTCACGATAGTTGAGAGTCAGGAGTAAGTGCAGCGACAACAGCACTCGATGCCAATCCAGGAGTCTGACAGCGCTAGACGTGGTCTTGAAATTTTTCATGTGTCTAGCATAGTGCAGCGAGGCCCATATTCTTCTCTCATCTATCTCATCTTCTTGTGGGTACTCTCTATCCAGCCAACCCGGATATCTCCCTACTGACAGGGGTATTTTTTTTTTGGCACCACAGCAGTGGTGCAAGAGCAAGCCTGTACCATTCCCTATGTTCTTTGACTTCCTCCGTAGCGTCTTCGCTTGGCACCACAATGGCACGGAAAGTCGGCAGACCTCTCTGATGACACGAAGCATGAGTGCTGTTGAGGAAAGATGCCAGCTTCGTGAATTACTCGAAAGAGATTGGCACTGCCGAGTCACCTTGGGCCAAATCTTTTGAGATCGTAGTGACGTGGAGATCTTGAACTTTGCTGTTAGAGGTGTGTTTTCCTTTTTTTTTTCCCAGTTGGGCGACGGTCTGCTCGAACTGCCCGGTCAAAGGTCATTGAGAGTCACATTTTACTCATCTGCTGCTGGGTTCGAACTCGAGTCTACTTCTCAGCAGCTCATCGGCATACCATTCAGCCACATGGGCTACTGTAGATTTTTTTATTTTTTATTTTTTTACAAAAGCAAGGCTACCGTAGATTTATTGCACAGGCCTAGTCCAATCAAAAACCAAAAAAGGAAAACCACAGATGACGCCACATAGCACAGAAGAGAGTCAGGAAGATGGGCCGCAGGCCCGCACACCGTGGGAATATCGAGGGTGGGCGGGACCGCTTCGCCAAAATTAGGCGAGAGGAATGACTCAGCCTCTGTGCCGCCTCTGTTTGATCTTGCTGGCTTGTGTGACCTCGCAGGTTCACATATGCGATGAGCGCTGCGCAGGTCGGGCTCCTGAGGTCGCTGCTCGAGAGGAGAGACAAGCTGTTGTGCCCGGGCAGGGGCAGGTCTCATATACTGTGGCCGGCCACGGAAGCGGGAGCGGTCGGAGCGTGGAAGCAGTCCTTCAGCCTGGGTGAGTACCAGTCGCGAGTCCCAATAGTTTTCAGCCTTTGATGATAAGAAAATTATTTATCACCGTAAATGTGGAGAGCAATATGAAGAGTCCATTGTTCGTCGCTGATGATGCTGAAAATCTATGGTCACGAGGAAAGTACAAAAACTGGTAGTCCCGAGTCCAGTACCGATCGTGTGGCGTATGGGATTCAACCACCGCCGCTTGAAGTGACGCAGGCCGTAGGAGTAGGAACCAGTCCAGTGTCGCTTAACTAAGGGCGTCGTTCGACACTCCTCGGAGCTTCCTCGAGCTTCGAGGACAAATCCTCGGAGTTTTTTTTTATTTTTGGAGGCGTCGTTCCACCTGTCCTCGGAGAGTAGCCCCGAGGAAGCATCCTCGGGTCCGTCCCGCGGCCAGTTTCATGAGATTATAGACGGCCGCGAGGGTGTTGTCCGACCTCCGATTCAAGATGTCCGTGTGCGAGGCGCGCTGGTCCACCAGCCGGACGGCGGCAACACGTCACGGGCCGTGGAAAATAAAATTGCGAGCGCGGGAACGGCCCCGTTCGAAATTCGAAATTCGAATTTTCTCCGCGCGGAACGACGGTGTGGCGGCGCACAGGCGGAAGAGCACGTCGACTGGGGGACGAGCGCGCAGGCTTGACGTCGCGTTCCGTACTTCAGCGGCACCGCGCCGCCATCGTGTGTACTGTGTTCGTCGCAGGCAAAATAAAGCGGCGTGTCTTCTCCTGCGCTCGCCACGTGCATGCGAGCGACGCTTTCGTGGTTCAGGGACGGAGGACGAACGCTCCCATCGCGGTGAAGTTTTGTCATCACGCCTGTCTTCCACGCCTCGTCGTAGGCGTCTTCGATCGTCGCCGTGGACATTCATTCGCGCAGGTGGGTGGCGGTGGACGTTGGTCTTCGTCGTGGACGTGCGCGAATGGAGGGATGCGATGGGGGTGGCCGTGCTGTGCTGTCGCGGACGGAGAGGGCAGCTGTCGCGGCGGCTGCCATTGCCGTAGTCCGTCGATACAAATCGGAGAGGGCGCCGGGCCGCATGAAGGCAGCGCTTTCCAGGCGGCGACACAGGCTTCTGCTGCAGAGGGTGTTGGACGCCCCGGACTGCATCACGACTTCGGAGGCCGTGGTTCAGCTGTGCGCTGCAATCGGCTCCGGTGTGCTTCCCAGGGCGACGCCACGTTGGTGGATGAGGCGGAGAACTGGCGGGACTTGGGAGGATTTGCGGGTGTGCAATGACGCGGCGGATGACTACTTCCGGGAAAAGCTCCGCATGTCGAGGAGAGTGTTCATGGAGATCACCGAAGCCTGTGCGCCTCATTTGCAACGACAGGTCACGTTTTACAGGGAGCCGCTTCAGCCGGATCAGATCGTCGCGTACGCGCTGTATAGGTGGGCGACAGGAGAGTCGTACGACAACAACACATCATCGTTCGGCATTGGCAGAGCATCCGGAGTTGGAGCCGTGCGCGATGTGACAGCCGCGTTGTTGAGGGTCTATGGGGACAAGATATCGTGGCTGACGGGGGTGCATAAACACGTGGTGCTTTGGGCGTTTCAGGACAAGGGCTTTCCCAACTGCCATGGTGCAGTTGACTGCACACACATCTACGTGGACAAACCGGCGAACACTCCGAGCGAGAACTACTTCGACCGCAAGCACCATTTCTCCATCATTGCGCAGGTGGTGGTGGACCTGGATCTGCATGTGCTTGACGTCTTCGTTGGCTACCCGGGCAGCTGCCACGACATTCGGGTGATCCAGTTGTCAAGTTTGTCGAAGCGCGCGGAAGACGGAACACTTTTTCGCGGGCTGCCTGTGATGCTGCCGGGAGGGGTGAGGACGAACGGATACATCTTGGGCGACAACAAGTATCCTCCTTCAGAATGGATAGTGGTGTCGTACGGAGGAATCAATCAGCACCCGGACGAGGAAAGGTTCGACAACAAACAGAAGGTCGCTAGAGGTGCTGTGGAGAGGGCGTTCGGGAGGTTGAAGGGGATGTGGAGGCTCTTCTTGCGGCCGCACAAGACGAACTTGGACACTCTACCGCAGCAGTTCACGGCCGTCTGCATTCTCCACAACATCCTGCTCGATGCTGGAATCGAGTTCGACGAGAACTTGTTGTGGGAGGTCGACGAGAACGGGGTGAGGCGGCGAGTGGACCTAGGGATTCATCGCCCACTGCAGCCAGTGACGATGCTCACATCGACGGACGCCGCACACGCGCTCCGCAATGCCCTAGCGGAGCGAATGAAACACATCTGATCGTGCGTGTCGTGCCACTCTGCCTGGCGTGCACAGACAGAAGCCGTGTGCGTCCGTCGTCGAGTCGCGGCGCTTGCGTCATTCACGAATGCGCGCAGTTAGCTCTCAGGGTTTGCAGTGGTGGATGGCTCATTTGTAGGTGTTTGTTGTTGTAGTCGACGGTAGTGTGCTTCTCCAGGTCGTGGGTGATCGGCAGTGAAGCGGGTCAATTGTCGCAAGTGATCGGCAGTGACGTCGCTGTTTTTCTTTTCGTTCTTCATCGATGTCGTCCTTGGCGCGGCGGTGTTCCCGCGCAAATCCGTGGGCATGGGGACGGGGAATGTAAGGGGGGGGGGGGGGGGGGGGGGGGGGGGGGGGGGGGGGGGGGGGGGGGGGGAGGGGTTTTCGGTGCTTGTTGGGTGGTGGCGCGGAGCAGGTCGACACCCTTCTGTTTCGCATGTGCTCTGGATCGCTGTTTTGCTTCAAATTATAAGATATTTGTATTTTTTTATTTATTTGTGTCAGGTCGCCGTCGTGCGTCAGGGTGCCGTCCGTCTTTTGATGACACGTGTTTTCTGTCAACCACATGTAGCGTCTGTGATGCATGTTGTCTGCAGTGGTCGGCGTTCGGTTGATGCTGTTGGTGAAGCTTCGATGTTGAACTGATGACGACCACGTGTGTCGAATGAAATATAATCAACAAACAATTTTCTCGTGATGGGATTATATTTTGGTAAATGGTTGAGAACCCTCTTGTAATTTTGCCGATGGGTTCGTGTATTGTTTGTTTCCGCTATTTTTTTTTCTTCCCCTTTATCTGTGCTGTTCAACATGAATAGAAGTTGTGGACAACATGGCGATGAGCAATAACAAGAGCATGACAGTAGAAGCTATGGATGTGATTCAGGCGATCATTAACGATTATCGTGCATGATAGACCCGCATACGACAGAAGAAAAGCAGTAGTGGCTGAGCAATAGGAAGCATACAGCCATACGACGTTCACACAGAAACAGAAATGATTGCATAAAATTCGTTGAAGTGCATAAAAAGTTGTGGCGGCGACCGACTTTTCTCCTACCTATCCACACTGCCTCCCCACTATACACCCTCCAACCGCGAACCACGAAGGACGAACCAATCCTGCCGTTTGCGCAGTGCTGCCACGTGTCACCCCCATGATTAACAAACCCTTTTGTGGAGCACGACCAGAAAGTGTGCTCCAATTCCTAAAAGACTACAAGTAAAAAAAAAAAAAAAAAAAAAAAAAACACAGGAGCCGCTCACAACACACGCAATACATAGCCATTTGCCGACGTGGCCACGTCGCTGGACCGCGTAGTCCTCGCCACCCTTATCGTTCGACGCAGTGAGAGATGTTTCCACACCTCCGCCTTGACAGACTGCTGCGTAGGACCTGGCACCTCACCTATTCGCCACMCCCCCCMCCCCCCAGCACCTGGCAACACCCGTCCCGCCTCTGCGGTACCATGTCCACTTGAAGGCGCACGCTTCGTCCACTCGTCACCACCGTGGACGAAGCGCCGACGATTTGCACCAATCCGCCGCCACCATTGGGCGAGATGACGTGTCACTTGCCATCATCTCCATCGTCATCCGCCGCGGGCCCGCTGCCGATCCACCCGTGTTTCGCGGCCTCCGCCGCGTTCTTCAGGGCAGCGTTGTGCCCGAACGCCAACCCGCAATCGCACCATTCCGGAATGCATTGCGGGTAATCTCCCAGTGTGAGGTGGGCCTTCCCTAGACGATCGAGGACGAGGTTGGCAGAGTCCACCATGTGTCGGCGCCAGTTGAAGATGTACGACCCCGCCGCTATCATCGTCGGTTTCGCGACCATGGACGCGTACAACCATGCCTCGTAATGCGATCGATCGTCGTCACCTCCCATGTGCATGATCCACATGACCATGCACAACAACGCTTGCAGACTGTCCGCCAGCCTCGACAACCTCTCCTGTTTTACGCACCCGCCATCCGCCCATTGTCCGCACCACAGCACATCAGTCCAGCACTCCGCCAGCAAAAGAACTGTCGCCTCCTGCCGCGCCGCCATGTCGTCGTCTTCCGGGCGGTCCTCGATCCTCACCCCCGCGAACCACAGAGGCACGTCCATCTTCATCGCCAACATGTGGTAGACGAGTGCAGGGGATACCACTCTCGACCATTCCAAGCCCTGCCAAACTGCTCGTGCGAGGTCCGTGGTGAGATCGACGGTGATGTAGGACTCTGCATGAGAGAAGCCAGTCGACCTCAACTGCGATTTAAAGATCCAATCGTGGATGGTGCGCAACACTACTCTCTCCATGCTGCGCGCTCAGCGGAGAGCTGGATCACGCTGCACCGGGTCGTCGATCTTGAAGCGCGGCACGTCATTCGGCGGCATGATGAGCATCGAAGGCGGCTCAGCTCCTGCATCTCCGTTGGCGATGGCGACGAAGTAGTCGGTGCATTCGCCTACCGCCTCCCTCAGAGGTTTCCCGGGACCCTGACCCCAGAAAGCGTCACAATCAACCCACAACTTTGCCTTCTCTTCCAGCTCGTCCTCCTTCGATGCTCCCTTCCCCCTCGGCACAAGTGGACGGTCGTCGTCGTCATTGCCCTCCCACTTTCCGTCTCTTCGGTCATCGTCACGGCCAATGTCGTCGACCCCCCCCCTTCCTGCACCTTCGACGACTCCACCTTTAGCTGTGTGATCTGCCGCCGCCGTCCGACTGGCGCTGACCGTTGCGTCGCCCTTTTGCGCGGGCGCCGTGTGCCCTCCCCCTGGTGCCAACACGTGTTGCAGGGGGAGTGGCTGACATGGCTGACCTTGACCTGCCGCCGCCAAAAGTTGTCCCGCGACCCGCGCGCTCGTGACGACAACCCCTGCCATGTTTGGGGTCCTTGGCACCGTCCCGGCAGCACCGCCAACAACGCTGCGTTTCACTTCTTGCAGCTGCTCCCTCGACACTCCATCCCGCCCGAAACCCAACCTTGCGACCCCTGTCGTCCCTTGCGCGTCCACCATAGCCACTTCGTCTGCGAGGAAGTCGTCAGTTTGTGAGGAGCTGGCGTCATCGATGCGCTGCCTTTTCGACTTGGGTATTTGGCCTCTGCCTTTGTTGGTTTCCCCACCGTCGCCCACCCCGGCATCTTTCCTGCCCCTCGCCGAGGCGCCCCGTGGGGGCATCTGCTCTGCGAATCGGAATCTACGACGACGTAAACGAAGGCTGCCTTCGACGAAAGAGCGCGCGGAAGAAGGACGCCTGACTGCTTCCCAGTGCTTCAACGTGGACGGAGGACGACGTGGATGATGCAGATGACGGGGCAGTGGTCGAGGAGCCGCAACGACGATGGCGACCGAAATGGAGATCGCGGACGACGAAACACGTTGGCGGAGGAGCACGTCCACGAAGGATGACGTCGACGAAGGAGGATGTGGACGGAGGCGGCGTTCAAGTCCTTGACGCGCGGCACGTGGGCGAAGAGGACAGTTGTCGCGATAGGGACGAGGGACCACTTGTTTGATGCGCAAGAAGGGGCATTGCTCGCGGAGCACGATGCGCGAGCGTGGAGCGGCGAAGCGGAGTTGCAGGCGCGCGACGACGAGCAGGTAGGCAGACGGTGCGAGAGGGAGCCATGGCTAAGGAATCACTGCGGTACGGAATGGCGGGCGCAATGTCCTATTTCTACGTACTGTGATGTTAAAGTACACCATGGACATGAGTCCCCGTCCACTACAGCCCGCCCCTTCGTCGCTCGCCCATGGTCCGTTTTCCTCCGCAGGCGCATGTCATCCCTCGCATGGCCAACATCAAAAGTGGTCGCGCAGAAGGACCCTGGCGGAGGTTGAAAAAGCCCGCCAAACCAATGACCCCCTCCCGCCCGAAAATCACACCCTTCTCCGAAACCCCAGGAGTTCGCCATCCATGCGTGCCGGCGACGCCTCACTACAGCAGTCGTAATATTCTATAAGCAGACGATGTACTGTAACACCCAAGGACGCGCCGCGGGGCATGACAACAATCACACCCATTCTACAATGAAATAATCAAATGAATGCATACTTACAAAAAAAACAAAACTCGTGCAGCCAAAAAACAACCAGCCGTCTGTACACAACCTGCACATCTTGTCACTGCAGCACGCAGGACAATAACGGCACGCGTGGCGGGGAGACGTCATGATCGCTCGCGGATCGCTTTAGCAATTTCCATAAGTGCTTCGCACATCATCAAGTTCGCCCGGTCGGCCTTGACGTAGTGTTCCTTCTGCACTTCAACCTCGCGCTCTAGAATGTCGCACTGCCTAGTTAGAATTGAGCACTGTCTCTTGCTCGCGCTGTCCACGGTTGTCGCCATCAGACTCCCGTGCTCCTTCATCACGTATGCAATCGTGTCGAAGGTCTGCTGTCTCACATTCTTCCATTTGCTGCCCCCGCCAACACCACCTCCACTGATAGAATCCCTCGTGGACCCCTGATCGTCGTCCTGTCCATCCCCGCCCCCCTCACTACCGCCGGATTCATTCCGACCTCCGCGTGGGCCGGGCATTTGAACACCTCCAGTCGCACCGGTGTCGGCGAGATTGGTGGGGTGTATGGTGTGATCGCTCCTGGTCATCGCCGCCATCTCCGAATACACACGCTCATCCATCCGGAAATCGAACCCCCGCTCCTTCCTCTCGCCTGGCGACAGTGTAAAGAAATTTGGCTTCCCCGATTCTCCCATAAACTTGTGCACGGTTTTGAAATGCAGGTACAGGTTGTCCCATTTCTTCCGGCAATCGACGACCTTTCTACTCGTGACCCCCATCTGCACCAGCCTCTTCTCCACATCGTCCCACTTCCATGTCTTCGTCTTCATCCTTCCCGTGGTGTGCGCGAGGCCGGCAAGATGCGAATCCTGGTCTCTTTTTGCCCGAATGAGAGCAATCATGTGCTCCACGGTCCAAAAATCCCGGCTTTTCGATCCCTCGCCAGCCGACGCATCTTCCACACCCTTCTTCCCCCTCCGCCCCGTGCGTGTTTCCGGCAACTTTTTCGCGGCCCTCGACCCTCCCCGCTTTCTCCTTACTGGACGAATCTCCATCTCCTCGTCATCCTCCTCGTCGTCGTTACCGGCCCCGTAGTCCGCCTCGCAATCCTCCCCATCTGCACCATCTTCATCGCCCAATATATCGTCCGCCCCCACGGTAATCTTCGCCACCCCTCTCGTTATGCCAGCCGTGCTCGCTTCACGGGATTGTCGCCGATGATCATCCCAAAACTTTCGACCAACGACCTCCGTTGCTGACCACTCTTCGTTTGGGCATCGTCCGTCCACTGTGCCACCTGCCGTCGTCGTTCTACACGGAACTGATCCGCCAGTCCGCGTTGTCACTGGAGCCGGTGTGTGGGTGGTGCCCGAAGCAGGGTTCACGATAACAGTGCGCGTCACCTCGTCGGCACTCCCGGACCTCAATCCAAAGCTGAGATCCACCAGTCCTGGGTCATAACCAGCTGGGGTACGCCCCTCCAGCAGATCAGTGTACGTCGGCGTCTATGCCTGCCTGTGCAGCTGGCTCCCCATCCAATTCTAAGTCGAACCGCTGCCCAGAGGAAGGGTAGAACATCGTGGGTCGTCGCCGTCATCGTCACTTGGAGGCAACGATATCTCGTGGGACGGCAGGTGGCTGTACAGTGCGGGGTCGTACGACCGCCTGACTGCTTCCGCACTTCTGCAGCGCTGACGTGACGACCCCGCAGCCCCAACGGACAGTGTGGTCCTCGTTTGTACCCTCTCCATCTTCCTGGCCGTCTTCGACGTTCGCCGCGTCTGTTTCCTCCCTAGAACGCGCACGAGGCAGCAAATATGGAAGACGACAATGGCAAGCAGCAGCACAACGGCGAGCACCAGCAAAGGCAGCCTGCGGTACAGGTCTGCCATGAACGACAGGGCAGCAGAAACAAAAGACGCACTCACGCTGTGGCAAGCGCTGCGAACAGAGACAAACGGTGCGAGAGGGAAGACGCCAACGAATGAAATTGATGCAATCTCGTACCTGGCAGCAGGACTGCACCTCCGTCGGAACACCCGACGAACCGACAGGGCCGTCCCGCGACGATCACCGCCAACGGTAAAACGACGAGGCCGTTACTCGACGTTTTGGACGCCCTCGCCTCGGGACGTCCGCCTTCCGCCTTCCGGACCACCTGTGGACCACTTTCGACCTCCGTTGCCCCTTCGTGACGCGCCGCCGACACCCCGATAATCGCGGATCCTCGGGCTCCAAAGGACCTCGCGAGGTCCCTTGAACCCGAGGATGATTTGGCTGGGAAATCCTCGGAGCCCGAGGATTTGTCCTCGGAGTGTTTTCACATTTCTTTTCCGAAAATCGGCTCCGAGGACAGGTGGAACGATGGCGAAATCCTCGAAATCGCGTCCCCGAGGAGTGTCGAACGACGCCCTAAGATGGTTGCTAGAGTTGTCTGTTTGCTGGCAGAGGGTCAGGCCCCACTGGTGCTATGTTCGCCATTGGAAGCATTAACATGACCTTGATAGAGGACAGGTTCATCTTTCCATAGCATGAACATAACACGACTGCGGCTTGGCCGCGAATTACGAACCTACCGGTAGCACTAGTAGGGCCTGGCCGTTACGGATTCGATAAAAAGCATTTGTTTGATTTTTTTTTTTTTTCTTTTTTTTCCTAAACTGCGACCGCACGGCGGTGCAAAGCTGCTTTATTTTTTATTTTCCAGTCTTGAATGCTACACGGCGGTGCAAAGCTGTTTTTTTTGTCGGCCTGGACTGGAGGCCCGCTCTTGAAAGCTGAAGAGCTCTTGAAAGCTGAAGAGCTCGTGAAGGGCTGTGACGCCCAAACTCACGCCCAGCGCGACTTCCTAATCGGAGTGGGATGAGGGCCCGGAAGTGCAAGAAAGGGGGTGTGCCAAGGATTTAAGGATAGTAGGGGTGGAGTTCCAGGTCAGAACTGAAATTTCTTGTGGCAAGCCTTAGGGGCAGTTATGCAAGATAGCAAGCGCGAAATGTGTCCGACTTTTATGCCTTGGGGGATGTCTTTTTTTTTTTTTTTTTTTTTTTTTTTTTTGAGAGAAAATCCCGATCGGATGCTAGGTGTGCTGGTAAGAGCAGACACATCTAGCACCGTCGGGGGGCTCCATCTATTGGTGGGGAGCAGCACCTGCTGGAAACCGGGTCCAGCGTCCCTTTGATACATCGTACAATACAAAGAATGCTGTTTGTTGTTCCCCGGGGCTGTGGCCCATTCAATCTCAACTTGGGGCTCCCCTATCCCATGGCGCTGCTAGTGTCACCCATCCCTTCTTAGGAGCACCCCTTATCTATCAACCCAGCCCTCTCGCAGCAACCCCCTATTCTCATAGAGCTATCGCCACTGTCTCCTTCTGTCGGAGGAGCATAATGCTGTTATCGACAACAGACTAACTACTTTTA